CTCACCAGAGCAGAGCAGAGGGGCAGAATCACCTCCCTCGACCTGCTGGCCACACTTCTTTTGATGCAGCCCAGGATACGGTTGGCCTTCTGGCTCATGTCCAGCTTTTCATCCACCGGTACCCCCAAGTCCTTCTCGGCAGGGCTGCTCTCAATCCCTTCACCCCCCAGCCTGTATTGATACTGGGGGTTGCCCCGACCCAGGTGCAGGACCCTGCACTTGGCCTTGTTAAACCTCATGAGGTTCATACAGGCCCACTTCTCGAGCTTGTCCAGGTGCCTCTGGATGGCGTCCCGTCCCTCTGGCATGTCAACTGCACCACTCAGAGACATTAGTGGCATTCCTCAGTGGCATTAGTGTAACTACTGGATTTACAGTTCTGCCTTTCAAAACTTAGTGCTAGGCAAAAAAAAAAAAGGCAAAAAAAAATTCTAAGTAATTGAACTTAAGCCCTATTGAAAGTCAGAGGGATTTAGGTTTTCCTAAGCCACTTAACTGCTTCTGGATGTGTTACTACCATTCATTGACTATCATCCATCAGCAAATCACGGATAACAGAAAGTTGGGAAAGTCATGCTGTTCTCTGTGTCTCTCTCCTGTATGGAGAGACACCCTTGTGATGAAAAATGCCCTCCAAGATCAGCTCTGACAACCAGGCTGTGTGTTGGGTCAGACCCACATGAGTTAAATGAAAAGTTTCAGTATTATGAAGCACAGAATAGGTAACCTTTTTTTCCTTTAACAGCTTTATGCCACAGAAGCAACCTCGGGCTGGCTCAATGCTAACGGTATCCCAGCAAATCCTGTGGCATGGCCATCGCAGGAAAGCCAGAGTCCGAGCCTCCCTCCGGTCAGGAGGTAAGAGTAATACCTTGTCAAATTTGTGTTAACATCCAGGACAGCAAATACAAGGGGTGAATTGCTGGCCCTGTTGAGATCAATGATAGTGATTTAATGGGACTTCGGATTCAATCGAACAGTTTTGTTTTATCTGATTCTGTCCGGAATTGCCACAGCAGGGAGGTTTCAGCTTAATTAATTAACATCTCATTGAACAGTCCTATTTAATATGGCTTGGATGTATTGCTCCATGTTACATTTTTACGCAAGAGTACGTGGGATCTCAATATTTAGCCTTTAATGACAGTCAGTCATGCCTTTAACAGAGTTGTGCTGAGCTGTATGAAGGCTGAATATTGCTTTGCATCACTGAATAGAACAGAAATAAAGCCCAAATTCCTGAGTCGCAGCTTAGTGCCTTAACCCCTCAACCCTCCTTTCTTGGGATGTAAGACTAAACTCAAATAAAAATTGTCAGTGTTGTTTACCTGCATGCCTGTGCTATTCATCATAGATTTTCATTAAGCAAGACACACTGTGATACTGTCTTGTGCATTGTCTCTTCAGGCTGGTAAGGGATGGGAAAATAGATCTGGTGATTAACCTGCCTAACAGCAACACCAAGTTTGTCCATGGTAATTATGTGATCCGGAGGATGGCTATTGACAGCGGGATTGCTCTGCTCACTAATTTCCAGGTACTTCCCATGCTGTTCTTTCTCCTCTTACTCATAAGAGCCTTCAGAGCTTTCAAGCACTTGTGACCTTAGATTCCAGTGTGTTTGGACCCTCATTATGTCTGACAAATAATAACGTGCCTGAAAATCATAGCAACACAATTGTTTGAATGTATTTTCTTTTTGCTACTATACAAAATAACATTGCTCAAAATAAAACAAAAAAAGAAGAAAATCTTGAGTCCTGTACTGCAGCTGAAGTTGTTGCTGTATCATTTTCACTTCAGAGCAAACTTCTTGCACAGGATTGCCTGTAACGTGTTTAAATTATGCACGGGAACAATTTTTTAGTAGGATGTTTTTCAAGTACGGTCATTAAATCTTACAGCAGGATGTAGCTGGGCTTTCTTGAATGATCCTTGGGGCAATCCAGTTCCAAAGTGCCATCCAATTGGAATTGCTGCCTGTCCTGTTGTAGTCCACAATTGGCAGTCATTATGTGTTTGTGGCTCCTGACAAACCCCTTTCACATACTGATAGGGGAAAGAGGTATTTGGTAATGCAAAGTGGGACTCCTGCTGCCAGCAGTACCTTGACTTCCTTTGCAAGTGGCTTCGGCTGTCATGAAAGAGCCTCATCTGGCTCTCATTAAGCACAGCAGCCAAATTCCTGTTGATTTCAGTGGGTGCTGACATGGAACCCGGTGACTTGAACTGGTGTCCAGCTGTGCAAAATCTTCTGCTGTGATTGGAGTGGAGAGCAGAGAGAATGCCAAGCTGTAAGGTCATAGATAGATAGGATAATGCCAAACATGATTAGCGGGAATGGGAAATTGAAGACCCATCCTTTGCCTACTAGTGAAACACACACTGAGAACCAGAACAGGGGTCCCCATCCAAAATTTATTACCACGCCTGCTTGATGCATTGCATTGAACCCTTTTTATTGCAGAGTTTTAATCTCTGAGTTTAAGAGAGGAAAACAACCCTGTGTTCTCTTAAAGGTTTGGGCTGTAGGGGGAAACAACAGCTCTCATGAGACAGAGCTGTCTTGCCAAAGAAGCCCAGCACCTTTATATCTCTCCAGCTGGACAGGCAGGCTCCAGAGGGCTGGAGCCAACACCCATGCACAGTCACCTTGAAATTGGTATTGATTTGGATGGATGCAAGGACTGGACCTGCATAGGATAGTTTCAGGGTGACAGTGTAGAAGTGTGGAGCCTGCTCTATTACTTGGCCTTCTGCAGAAAGCTTTGCAATGCTCAGTCCCTCCTCTGCTTTATATTGACAGGTAACAAAGCTTTTTGCTGAAGCTGTCAAATACTCTGGGAAATTGGACTCCAGGAGTCTCTTCCACTACAGACAGTTTGACAATGGAAACACTGCATAGAAGAACTATCTCCAACCTGCAATCTTACTGCTTCTGGGACCACAAAAGAGAGGGGATCTCAGATCATCCACCTAACCATCTTTCCTTCTATTTTATAGCATCTGCACTGATTGTTTTTTCCAACTCGCACAAGTTCATTCCTAGCCAATACTGTTGATGTCTCATTGGAAAGCTGTCCTCTCCCCAGCTTCTCCACCATTTTCTCCCCATTTCCACATAGGATCAAATATTAGTTATTTACTAGATGGGCAGATCCAGACACCGCCATAGCAGAGGAAATGAAAGGAGATACAACTGATCCTACATGGGGGTTGGTTGTTCCTACTTTTCATAACCAAGCTGCTCCTCCTTAGAAATGCCTTCCTTGGGTCCATAATCCTAGCTATTCTCATACTGGACTACTAGAGCCTGGCCCCAAACTCCCATAGAAAGACACGTAGCTTTCTCTTTCCATGGCTGATTATTGAGGATTTTACAACTTTGTGTAACAATTAAACATCCTCCTGCTTGATACACCCAGTGATACCATGGATGCCTGCCACGGTGATGAGTGTGATAGGAGCTCTTTAAAGACAGAGGAACATGAATTCCCCACGATTCCCATAACAGCTGACAGGCATGATGCAGCTACTTTTTGTTTGGTTTTTAACCCTGGCCAAGAATCATCTTCTTCAGCCTGTAGATTTGATGGGAGAGAAAGGCTGTATGTGTGTGTCCTGGAATTGCTTCCAAGTTCTGCTCAGTCCTTCAGGCTATTATTATGATTATTTTTTAAATTCTAGTTCAACAGTCTGAATTCAGGTGGCTGTCCCTGTATTGTAAAGGCTCTCTCTCAGCTTTGTGTCTGGCTTCAAAAGTGGAGAACTCCCCAAAGACTTCTGTGTGTTGCTGTCCAACATTTTGTGCCGTGATTGTGGGCATTAAAATTGAATCCTTTCAAAACGAGGTGAAAGTGTTGCAGTGCTTTCCCCCTCCCAATTAAGTGACCCCTTCACTTTCGCTCCAGGCTTCTCTGCTGCTCTTTCAGCTCTGGTAAATGCTGTCCATGGAGCAGACACCCACTGTGCCACATGGTGCATGTTATCACTTGTTGTCTGCATGGCAGAAGACTTCAGCAGCTCTATGGCCAATGGCACTGCATCCTGCAGCATATATAGTGCCTGCTTCTAAATGTTTACCAGCTAAGGAATGTATGTGTCTGTCTTTCCCCCCTCCACCCCCCCCATGTTGCAGTATGTACACAGCACACCCTGTGCTGGAGTCAGGAAGATTCAAAGTTGGACAACTTCTCTGATACTTGCTAGAGTAAGCTGAAGTGGAGCATTCTCCTCCAGCCACACTGTCTGCCTGAGATGCCAGACCCAGGGCACTGCTAGCTTGTAGTAGTTACCTACCTCTTATGTATCCCCCAATACCTGCAGGGCCTGCCAAGAAATACTACTGCCAGCTAGTGCTAGATATCTGGTAGTGGAGCTGGGTACCACCCAGTGGTGCTTTTACTGAAACTATCAACACTGAAAGTAGTGCACTTTGGGCTGTGTTGAGGAGATGAGCAAACCTAGGCTGCTTCTTGCATGTGCTCTCAAGTTCCCTTGGGTCCCAAGAAGCTTTGAGTGTGGAGAGAGAATAAGGGCAGATAGATAGTCTGGGGGTTTTTAAATTAATGCTAAAACATTTCAGGAAGGATATAAAATCTGATAAGAGCTTTTACTGAAAAGTGCAAAGGAGTGGGCAGAGGCTGTGATGCCTTTGGGTACCATGGGACTCTGAACAATTAGTGCTAAGTGCCAAGACCAAATTTTGAACCAGGTGTGGACTTTATTTCTGATCTGGTTGACATCCCAAGTGCTCTTGCCATAGGCATTTCTTCAGTACTAACTTTTGTGATGAACACAAACCTGCCTGCTGTGCATAGGGAGAGCTTTGCACTTTTAGAGTAAAGATGTTATTAAAAAAAAAAGAAAGAAAGAAAAAAAAAAAAACCCCAATCAAAACTCCAGAAGAGCCCAAAGCCATCAAGTGTTCACCCATTCAGTTGTGAAATGGATGACAAATGGTGGTTAATGAAGCAGCACTCTAAATGCATCCTGCACATTTCAGTGGCAAAAATCCCATTAACAACTAGTGTCATCTCGCATCCTCCCACCCTGCTTTTACCTCTAGTAGTGAACAAAGCGACATCTTAAAACATCTGTATTCTCTTGTTCTTCCTCTTCTATTTTGTCACTTATCTCATGAGCTGAAAATGAAATAAATGCCCCGGATTGTGACAGCTACTCATTCTTAAATTCTGCATGGTCTGGATTCTGCCCTTCTTTTTTTAAGTCTTTTTTTTTTTTTTAAAGCATTGATGAACACTAGTCTGTTAGGAAATCATCATTCTTATGTTTGACAGTGAATGCATCATTTAATGTGGAGCTGCTGTATGCCTCAGAGGTGAGGAGGTGTGGTGGGAAAAGAGCAGCAGGACAAAGCAAATGCTCTTTTTTTTCAGCTGCATGTACACAAGAGAAAGGAGAAGCCATGATCCCCCAGGAGGGACATGTGAAATGTAAGTGAGGAGCCAGATGATAGAGCAGTAGGCTAAGAAACATTGAAGAGATGGGAACTTTGAAGAAGGGGCTGCCAGTTTTGGAAAATGGGAAAACCTTTACTGCTTTTAATTCAACTTTCTTAAACAGTGCTCCTGCCAATTAGCTAACAGTGTGAGTGTATGTGTATCTATGTATCTATACATTCCTGTTGTTACTTACTGCAACAGCTGCGGGTACTTAAACCACAGCTTCTTTGGTGCCCACAGACTCTCATATAGGTAGAGTGGAATTTAGTAGAAAAACACACCAGGGCTGAATATATGCTGAGTACTCTGTAATTATGCAGTAGTGTTAATGTTTTGCTGCTGGTGCTAAACACTGGTCCCTTCCCCACTCCTCTGAAGCAGGTGACACTAATGTCCTTCCACACTTAATCAGACCCATCTACATATACACCATCCCCTGAGCTGTCTTTTCCTCCATCTCCCTTTGGTGTCTCCTCCCCTTCCCCTGTTGAAGAAAATACATGGTCAGAAGGAGCCAAGAAATCATCCCCTAGCTTACCTTGTGCAAACACTGAATTCTGGCTGAATTTGTTTCTTGATATGCTTTTCTTCTTTGCATAATGAAGGTGCAGACACTATAGGAAAAGATTTTTAAGTATCTACAGCTGTTGGGATCAATGCAGATCTAAAAAAAAAAGTTGCGGTTAGTATCCTTTGTACCAAGCTCATCTCTGCTTTCAACAGATTCTGCCTTATAAATGTCTTCTTCTTATTAATCTTGGGGAGGGTGACAATGACAGATGAAAGAGGATTCTGTTCAGAGCAAGAAATTTGCTAATCTATGAGCAGTCATATAATTTTATTCTTTTTTACTGTCTTAAAAGAGGGTTGATAAAGAGACACATGAAGGTATGAGACAGTACAAAGCACAACTTTTGAGATAAGCACAAGAAAAGGTGGCGAGAGCCATGATGAAATATGAAGGGATCTAATTTTAGTAACAGAAATGTTTTTTTCTCAGTAGTCAGTCTGCTGAGCTGCTCTCTGGAGCCATAGCTCTCCAAGTGTGCTAAATGCTGGGAAGCTCTGGAGGCTTGATTTCCCAGAAGGCACTGCTGAATATTGAGGTTGGGCTCTTTATCCAGTTGATCACCTTCCTGGATTTACTCTTCTGCAGTTAGCACCATTTAAATCACTTGGAGATTGCTCAGGCAGCCTCTGCAGAGGTTAGTAGCAAAGCAGTGATAGTTTGGCATGTTGAAAACAAGAAGAAAAGAATGTAAGAGAGTGAAGACAACTTATTGCTACCACTTTCCACTTTCCTGGTAGAGGTCTTAAAACACAGTGAGATGAAAGCATATGCTTTATATAAGTAAGCTTTAAGAAACCTCTTTGCTCTGAGACTATTTGAAACAGTCAAAATCAGTTTTCTGAAAGTCCTAGGAAGTAGCCAAGCAGGAAAGACTCCATGATCTGAAAGAGCTCTTGGCAGTGAGCGGAGAAGTAAGTCTTGCTTGGCTTGCAGGTTGCTGGGTTTTCCTGGACTGGATGTTGCCACCAGCCTGTAAGGCAGCGTTTTTCCTTCCCTCACATACCAAGTATATTTTGCACTCTCAAGGTTTAAAAGCCTATTTGTGCTTTGGTTCTCTGTGCTTGCATCAGAGGCAGCTAGGAGTCTGGCTGGAAGCTTAGCACCTCTGTATCTTTATTATAAAGTGATCCATAAAAGTAGGGAAGGGATTGGAAGTTAGCACTGTACTAAAACCCATAACTGCAGTGTGTGTGCAATACCAGTGGCTTCATGCACGGGCTGCTGCCTGTATCTCAGTCAGATGCGAACAACAACTAGCAGGAGGGTGGGCTCATGCAACAACCCAAGATGAGGTGGTAAAAGGAGAGAGCACCTCTGGCTCTTTCTGTTTATAATGTTTATAACACCAAATCGTAGTCAGAGCAGCCCTGGACCTTGGGAAGCTTTCAGCAGACATAATTAGTGCTGTCATCATCTCTGCAAGGACAGGAGGTGCTGCCATGCCATATGAAGCATATGAATGCTACTGCTATAGCCATCTGCAGGACATTGAAATCTTCTATGCTACAACAGTCAGCTGCCAAATAGTACCCAAAACCTCTGTTTTTCTTTCGTCTGCATCTCAATGTCTAACACTGCATAATGTAATTTATATGGAATAATCTAGTTATGCTGTAACATTTGTTTCACCCTTACATTGAAAAGAATTTAAATATGAACCTTTTAATGTGTCCTAATTAAATGGAGAACACGATATTTTGTCATTAACTAGGTAGGCTATACTCTCACTCATCCTCATAATTAAAATATATTGAATTCTGCAGACTGATAATACCAGTTGAGATAAACTCTTTTAATTCAGGGAAGTTTGTAAAGATGAAACTGAGAGACAAAAGCATTTGTTGCAAATTATGTTCAAGCTTTATGATAATGTGCTTTGGGGAAAAGATGAATTAATTGCTAGGGAGTAATGCTAGTGCTTTGGGATTACCATAATCTTGGATGAATGCTGTGGATTGTCTAAGACAGTATCTAAGAGTAGCAAGTGCAGCTGTTTTGCAGGGAGCTGCAAGGAGTGCCAAGAGTTTGTAGTTCTGGCACAATTCATTCTCCCAGGGAAAGTTTCTTATTATTAAAGGTCAATTTTTTACTCCTATAGCATGAAGTTTCTTAAACTCTATGGATATGGTTTTTTGTCAGTCTCTACAGAGTTGCTTACACTAGTGCAAAGCCAGCATAATGTTGCTGTGCTGATTTTACACTGCTTTTAGCCTCTGGTGTAAATGATTGCCCAAGATATTCATCATTAGAGCATCAGGGGCCTTTTCAGGAAAAACATTTGCTCTTCCAGCTCTAGACAATCTTGTTCTTTTTTCTGACTTCCTGAGCATTACTAAATGCTGCCAAGCTCTTGTCCTTCAAGATCTCTTGTAGTAATGAGACCTCATTATAGCTTAAAATGGCCCTCTGCTATTCACTGTCTTTGAGAGGCATTACAATCCATCCCCTTATGACAGAAGCACTTGGAACAACTCTTAGAAAAGTGGGTTATGTTCTGACTAAGCATCACGGGGTATGGGTTGAAGTGTTTGCTGCCTTTCATGATTCATAGGAGACAGAATGGTAGAGGTGAAGCGGTCAAAATGTGACCTTTGCTGAGGGTCAAACCTGAGTCTTTAGTCAAATTTTGAATGCATTGATGTGGCCAGCTGAAAGCAAATAAATAGTGTGTTCTTACTGCCAGCGGGTCTGAGTTCTTAGTATATCCTAAAATAAGCATTGAAATTATTGTAGTGCTCTTCCAACCGCTATGAAGGTAGCAGTATTTATCTGGTTTGCAGCTTAGCCTGAGCTGTTGATCCTGAAATGAAGGTCTCAGCAATGCTGTATCATTTATATCTCATTCGGATACCCAAGCACATGGTGCCTCAGCAATAGTATCTCGTGGGGCGTCTCTCCTATGCAGTTTTCATATGGACAACAAAACATGGCTGTTAGAGCTCGGCACAGGTAAGCAAAGAAGTTCTGTAATGGTGGTGAGGTAGAGGTATATGCCCATGTTATCATGGACATCAGTAACATATAGTATAGTAATGCCATTCATCATCTGAACACTGTGCAAACCAGACAGAGAAAATACAGACTCCTAAGGGCACTTAGGCACAGGCCCCAAAGGGCACAGATAGTATAGGGGAAGAAAGACTGACATTTAAGTCACTGGGAAAGTCCAGATTTGTTAGCTTACATTTGTTAGTAAATGCTTTTAAGTAATTTCTGGTAGATATGATAGCCTCAGAGGTTGTTATACTTTGAAAGGGCTGGAAGCTATTTCAAGTGCAAGAGAAGTCATGCTCTGTAGCTAGCTGGGAGAGAAAGAGATGAGTGGAACATCAAAATGAGAAATACCAGAATTTAACTGATGGTCCTTCTCCATCCTTATGCTTTCTTCATGCAGTTCAGGCTGGGCGAGATATGCTGCTAGACTGGAGGGGAAGTAGTTCATTTTCTGTTTGAAATTGCAGCAGCATCTGGTGCAGAGTGAATGTGGGCCACAGCCACATCAACACAGAGCAGGAGTCACCTGGTTGTGCTGTGGTTTGCGTTACCACCACTGGTTACTCCCAACTAGAGCTCTCATACAGCACCTAAATGAATGCATGACAAAACAACCACTTGAACTTTCTGTTCTTACTAGCATGAATGTACCTGAAATGAAGACGGAGACATCCAGCTGTTCTGAGATGAAAGTAACTCTGAACAGATAATAAAGATCTGAGACCTCAGCAGAGAGGAGAATGAAAATTATAGAAAAGCACATCCAAGAGTTCCTCAAAGATTGCATTTCTGTCCTGTGGGGTCTAAACTTAGCGCAATAGCACTGTTTCGTATATTAGTGTAAGCCTAGGCATCCTTAACTAAAAGCTGATTATTATTTTTTTTTTAAATTAACTGCAGGAAAAACAGCCTCAACAAATTCTGTTCACTATCTGCCATCAAGAAAAGCCTATTAACAATAATTGTTAGGTTTTTAGTTTTCAAAGAACCCATAATTAAATTTTATTGTCTCATAAGTGATTAGAATTAATTGCTTCCACACTAGCTCTGGTGCTCATTATCTGCTTTAAATTGCGAGTGGTTTTTCTGCAGAATTCCTTCATTTACCACAATCCCTTTCTGTTATGTTCCTTGCCAGAGAAAATCCATCG